GATCACAGGCGATAGAGACGTACCTGATCACAGGCGATAGAGACGTATCAGAAAGATGCTGAAGTAAAAACATTGAATGCTGACCTTTCACCGTTGACATCCACATAGTCTTTGAGACACTGCCTGCTGTAGTTTCCTAAGGAGAACGTCTTGAACTGAACCTTCAAAAACTTTTCTTTTGGGGCCTGAAAAAGATCACAGAGATAAGACAAAAACAAAAGCCCAAAGTGAAACTCATTCTAAATAAGATACGATGTTAATGACCTCATGACCTCTGCTGTAATGCCTTTACTGTTTCTCATTACAACAATAGAAAGGTGGACTTACCTCGATGTTCCAGACACATTTGGTTTCTGGAGGATAGTTGGAGGGGAAGAAAGGTGACGAGAAGGATCCTTTGTCTCCAGTCAGCGTTCCTCCACACTCTGAACAACAAGAGGGACATTTCACCCGACATCTTAGACATTTAGGAGACTTCAGCAGAATAAAGAGGTCAGAGGTTACACTGGTTTCCCTGTGATGGTACAATGATCATGAAGACAGAGACGTAACCTCAGGGGGTTAAAAACAACTGATGTAACTTAACTTCTCAACATTTTAAAAATCATACTTTCAGTTTTTAAATCAAACCGCGTGAACACGTCTGCAAGTGTCGAGATGTTCCAATGAAAATCCAATAGTATCAATAACCTGGGATGATGTATGATTGTGTGGATTCTAGTGCAGTGATCTGCTCTTCAGCGTCACAGACAACTCAGATTTTCGTCAGAACAATTCGCACAAAAATTCATTAAAAAAGGATTTTGTGGTTTCTTATGAATTCTTGATGAACATTGTTACAGGGAAACTAAATATTTGGACGGGCCTCAACTTCTTCCGCCTACGGATATATTTATATTTGACCAATGAAATCCTTTGTTCCAGGTGCTGTAAATGTATCGTAAAGAAGCTGATGTGCACTTGATCACGATGTTGGTCACAGCTAGCATTAGCATCACATTTAGGATCTGATTACTTTATGTATTTCTTAGTTAACATTAGCAGATGAGACATTCTCCATCTGAGTGGATATAAAATATATTAAAGGGGATTGTTTATGATTGGAACAAGGGATTAAGTGCAGACAGGTCGCTGCAACTAAAAATGATCTTTATTTATTATCACTTTTCTTTTCATTGATGGATGTGGAGTTGTTATTGTTGGTTGAATAGATTGTTGATCGTTTGGTCAATAAAAAGAGTTTTTTCACAAAGAGACGTCTTCAAACGTCTTGTTTTGTCCAAACAATCCAAAAGCTAAAGATCTTCAGCTCGTCACATAAAACATTAAAATCACCTCTAATTATATTGTACGTATAAATTTGCATTTATGTTGCAGGTTAATTTCCTCACACTTTAGCTGGATGGTTTCTTGTCTTCCAAAGATTCTAGAAATAGATTGTATAATAGATAACATATTAGATTATATATTAGATTATATAATAGATTAAATATTAGATTAAATATTAGATTAAATATTAGATTATATGTTAGATAATGTTAAATGGTATATTAGATGATAGATTAGATAATAGATTAGATTATATGTTAAATGCTATATTAGATAGATCACCACACCTGCATTGAGAAAACTCAATGTGACTCATTCTTAATAAGCTACTTCTGGAGTTGCTCTACTATGAAGATCAACAGCTGATCACACGAGGTTAGGGTTCTGTACTTCCTGCCGTACTTTGTTGCGCTGCAGGGATCTGGGAGTAGTTGGCTCTGAAGCCGGGGAAGTTCTTCTCCTCGCTGGTGATCAGGAGCAGCAGCAGGACGTTCCCAGAGGACAGGAAGGACAGGGAGTCATGAGGGTACCCACACTGCCTGAGGAGGAACCAGAGACATGAAGGAGGTGCTGCTGTTAGAACGCAGGAGAAGTCAAAGAAAACTGCTTTCAGAAGTAAGTGATGATGCATCACAAGAAAAGAACAAAGACTTTATGAGATTCATCTGTAGAGCCGAAATAAAGACAAATAAAGTCTACTTTATTATTAATGAAATGATGTGTTTCAGCCTAGAGATCATGTTAGTGATGGTGTATTATAAACATCTCTCTATAAAGAACACCACCTCTAACTACCACTTTAAATAAAATAAAATAAAATAAATTTAAATAGTGTGCGTCTTAGTTAATAAGGCGTGTTGATGCTGGAGCAGCACATCTGAGTTTAACCAGATGTGCACGTCTCTCTCCTGATAGCAATAAAAGATGAAGTTGGACTGAACGAGATGGAACATGTGTTTCTAATAAAGTTGGTTTTTAGTCATTTAGAACTTTGACACATTTCTACACTGTAAGAAAAGTCCACATATCATCAACACACCTCACATCTGGGCCACATATTTCAAAAGGTTCATGTTATCTGCCAATAATTTAAAAAAGACACTGAACAGCAGCTGAACATCTGGAGTCGGCTGAGCGCTGGCTTAACGTCTCACTCTGTTCAACAGATAATAAAAAGCTTCTTCACACGTCCAGCAGCTCAGTGAAGGATCTGAACCTCTAACACGTCGATGGTCGGTGCCTCACTCTGTCAGGACCCGCTTCCGGATCGGAGCCAGCGAGTCGTAGATCTGGATGAAGTCCTTCCGACAGTCGTCCTCCAGGATCAGAGTGTGGAAGTCCAGGCGGACTCGGTGGCCCGGGTCGGCCCTCAGCCTCCACTGCAGGTAGACATTGGGCGGGTACGAGGAGTCGGGGAACCCCGGAGACTGGATGCCCCCCGCTGAGCTGACGTGGAGGTTGAACTGCTCCTTCACTGGAAATAAAGAAAGAAAGAAATGATTTGACGAAACCGGACTGCTGGTCTAACTGAACGATGGAAGGTCACTCACTTTCTAATCACTTTACAAGAACATCAGTTATTGTCAATAAGTCTAATTTAGTTTAAACCTCATGAAGAGTTCCTCTTAGCTTTGTGACTTTACTTTGAAAGAACCGGACAGAACACAACTTCCATGAACATTTCTCACCAGACAAAGAGTTCCTCGTCATGCGTGGGTCGATCGCTGTGGACAGGAAGGAGAAGTCATTGAAACAACGTGCACAGCTCTCTGAAACCAACACCTTTAAAACGCTTTCACACGTTTGCAGCTCAGATTGTTTAAAAAGCTCGAGTCAACCTCAACGACTTTAACCTGACATTAACATTAAACATACACACGTATATATATACACACACGTATACACACACGTATATATATACACTTATACACACATACACACATATACACACATGTATATATATACACTTATACACACATGTATATATATACACACATGTATATATATACACACATGTATATATATACACACATATACACACATGTATATATATATATACACATATACACACACGTATATATATATATACACATATACACACACATGTATATATATATATATACACATATACACACACAT